AACTGTAGAGTTTCACCACCCCCTGACCACTGGTGTGAATGAGCCATATACACATTGGTAGAAGTTCTCACTTTGTGGCAACCATTGGGGATACTTTGGCTTCATGAAGACAATATAAAACCTGTATACCCTTGTGACTTATTTTCTCCCCTGTAAAAGAAACAATTTCAACTAAAACTGGCCATTTATTAGTAGTACAAGGAATATTCATATGAAAATTTGTAAAAAAAAAAAAAAAAAAACCCAAAAAAACTCTTAATACATTTAATGACCTGATGAATGTTATTGGAAAGTTCTTCAAAATATAATTTGCTTTAAAAATTCAATTTTGGAAATAATTGAATTTTCCAAGCTGAAACAATTAAAACTGTTATGTTAAAGAGTAACTCCACTTTTGTTGAGAAAACAAAACATTTCTCTCTGGGCAATCTATGTACATTGCCAGTATTTTAACAAACTCTTTTGCAGATTCCTACCTTTTGTTATTCTGACGAAAGAGCTGTTTGATTGTCTGTGTCCATGTGCAAAGTGAATCTAATGGGAGTAGATTCCTAACTAACAAACAGTTGCTGCACTTGCAGGGCTCTAATGGGAAAAATTTCAGGGTTTAGATGTGATTTCCTATTGGGAGTATCTCACCAAAATTCCATTTTTGTTGCAGGGGATGCCTAAAATCTGACTTGAAAAATCAGTGAGCCAATCACACAAGCAGGAAATTATGTTTCTGGGGGTGTTCTTTACACATTCTGCATTGCATTTTACAGAAAATTACAGTGATGCAGATTAAGATGGAAAGGTAATTTTTAATAACATTCAATCACAATATGACTTGAATCGCAATTGTATATGGTATATTATTATTTTTTTTACTTGCTATTTTTTTTCCACCAAAGGGGAGTTACCCTTTAAATAAGACTGTTGAAGAAAAATTTTCCATCCTGGGCCTTCAAATTTTTTCTTCACTGTGGTTAACAACAACATGGCAATTTGACCCAATTTACTACTAGAAAACTGAACAAATGTTAAAAACAAATATCAATTTGACCCCGCTATTAGCAATCAAGTGAAGAATCAATCATGTTCTTTAAATGAAAAAATTTAAATGAAATAATGTATTTGCAGCTTAAGCCCCTTATATAGGCTGCCTGTCTATGCTCAGTTCTAATGTACATAACCGATAAACTCTTTCCAGGCTGCTGGATGGGGTAAAGCAGTTTGTTAACAAAACATTTACTTTTCTTTCATGTAATCCTGACAACACCTTTGTTGTGTGAGGGCTTTACGAGTGTCTCTTATTAATACTGAGATCAGGCAGAAGGCTAGAAACCATCTATGGGGACCTTACAACCTGACATCTCTGCTCTAACAACTAAAGAATGCATGTAAAGAATCAGAGTCACGTATTCCCCTGAGCAGTAGGGCTGAACTGTTATAAGGATTTCAGTGAAGAGTTTCTACAAATGCCCATTAATGACTGGTTCATTTTTAGTGTAGCCATAGACATTAGGCATGCTTTATTAATTTAAAGCTGAAGTTCAGGGATATGAAAACACTACCCTTGCAGTAGTGCTCCCTTTTTACTGCAAAGGTTCAATGCTTCCTTTTGCCTAGGGTACCAGTAACCACTCTTACTCTTTATTTTTATGTTATTTATGGATTCTCCTGGTCCACCTTTTGTTACAGCTACTAGGCCTCCCACCTCATCCACTACATACGGGTGAGATAAAAATTTCTCATGTACTGTTAAGGTTGAATGTTTGTTTATGAGGATATTGTTTTGGTTCAAGCTATTTTATATTCCCCCTATGGTAGATTGCAATTAAATGAGAGCCATTCATGGCTGGCTTTCCGCTCTATACTCAGGCACTCTCTGATTGATTTCAATGGATATCTTTCATAAGTCTGTCTGACATATAAATGTTATACACCAGTTTTTGTTTACATCTTTCAGCTCAGCTGTGGCTCTGCTGGGGTAGCCTCAGTGTGGGAACTTTTGTGCCTCCTGGGGGATCCGTGCTTAGCGGTCCACTTGTGGTGCCAACGGATGATGACAGACAGTTTTAGATATGGCTGTTCTTGGTGTACTAGCATATGTCTTGGATGGTATATATGTATGTATGTAACTGAATATCATATAATTCATGTATATGATTAGACTTGCATAAAATTTTTATTGTTATTCAATACATTGTAAAATCCAATCTTACCATCCTCATCTTTAATCTACCCCTGATGAAAGTGATGAACTTTTTCTGAAATGTGTCAGGTATCCCATTGAAGAAGCCTTGTCTCTCCATGTTTTCTATTTAGAGAAAGAGGATGCCCAACGACACCAAATTTTTGTTCTCTGACGGCATATTTAGCAACGTGTTTTTATAAATTTTTCAGAGTACCAGTAAAAAGCATTTTACTTTAAATATCCTTTTCCCCACTGGCAGCCAGTGCCCACCTTGTGTTTCTGATGCTCAGGTTTGTGGGCAGACCTATGCTGTACTTATTTGCAATGCAGGACTGATGGTCTTGCATTATACACTATATTGCCAAAAGTATTGGGACACCCCTCCAAATCATTGAATTCAGGTGTTCCAATTACATCCATGAGCACAGGTGTATAAAATCAAGCACCTAGGCATGAAGACTGCTTCTACAAACATTTGCAAAAGATGGGGCGCTCTCAGGAGCTTAGTGAATTCAAGCGTGGTACCATGATACGTTGCCACCTGTGCAATAAGTACATCCGTGAAATTTCCTTGCTACTAAATAATCCACAGTCAACCACTAGTGGTATTATAACAAAGTGGAAGCAACTGGGAACAACAGCAACTCAGTTACGAAGTGGTAGGCCACATAAAATGACAGAGCGGGGTCAGTGCATGTTGAAGCGCATCTCCTAGATTGTAAGCTCCAAGGAGCAGGGCCCTCTAATCCCTCTTGTATTGAACTGTATTGTTACTGTACTGTCTCCCTCCATAATGTAAAGCGCTGAGTAAACTGTCGGCGCTGTATAAGTCCTGTATGATAATAATAATAATAGTGTGCAGAAGTCATCAGTTGTCTGCAGAGTCAATAGCTAAAGACTTCCAAACTTCATGTGGCCTTCAGATTAGCACAACAGCAGTGTATAGAGAGCTTCATGGAATGGGTTTCCACGGCCGAGCAGCTGTATCCAAGCCTTACATCACCAAGTGCAATGCAAAGCATCGGATGCAGTGTTGTAAAGCACACCACCACTGGACTCTAGAGCAATGGAGATGTGTTCTTTGGAGTGACAAATCACCATTCTCTGTTTGGCAATCTGATGGACGTGTCTGGGTTTGGCAGTTGCCAGGAGAATGGTACTTGCTTGACTGCATTGTGCCAAGTGTACAGTTTGGTGGAGGGGGGATTATGGTGTAGGGTTGTTTTGCAGTGGTTGGGCTTGGCCCCTTAGTTCGAGTGAAGGGAACTCTTAAGGCGTCATCATACCAAGACGTTTTGGACAATTTCATGCACCCAACTTTGTGGGAACAGGTTGTCGATGGCGCTTTGTTGTTTCAACATGACTGCGCACCAGTGCACCAAGCAAGGTCTATAAAGACATGGATGACCGAGTTTGGGGTGGAGGAACTTGACTGGCCTGCACAGAGTCCTGCCCTCAACCTGATAGAACACCTTTGGGATGAATTATAGTGGAGATTGCGAGTCAGGCCTTCTTGTCTGACATTAATGCCTGACCTCACAAATGTACTTCTGGAAGAATGGTCAAACATTCCATTAGACACACTCCTAAACCTTGTGGGCAACCATCCTAAAAGAGTTGAAGCTGTTAGAGCTGCAAAGGGAGAGCCAACTCAAAATTGAACCCTATGAACCAAGACTTGGATGCCATTAAAGTTCATGTGCATATAAAGGCAGATGTCCCAATACTTTTGGCAATATAGTGTATGTGGAGACCTCACAGTAGCTACCATAAGTCTAGAGTGCCGACAAGAAGTGGCTGCAATGGACCAATTACACGGAATGAGGAATTTGTGGGAACCACGGATAAGATAGAAAAAATTTTATTTTTATTGGTACCCTAGGGAAAAATGAGCATTTAACCTTTGTAGTATAGGGGATGCCTTATTACAAGTGTATTTATTTTTTATTTCCCTGGAGATCAGCTTTAAAGAAAGGTATTTTCCATTTACAGGTACAATTGCCTGTTGAAAAAGGCATGTTTATGTCACAAACAGACATCTCTGGTACCAGTCTAATCGCAGAGATACAACTATGCCCAGTTATGAATATTTCATTTTATCATAAAATCAGTTGAGCAGGGTTGATAAGGTTGTCTGCAGAAGTCACAGTATATGTATAAATGTGTACATCTCTGAATTCTAACATGCTGAATATGTAACATATTGCTATAAAATGTTTCCTTACAATTTTTGTGCATTATCATTGTTAATGAAAATTTAATACAGAATACAGTGTCACATTCAGCTAAAGTAGTTGATTTACTAAAGGCTAGTAAGCTGTTCACATTGCAAGGAAATGTTCCCAAAACGTAGTGAATATGGTGTAAAAAATACCCAAACACGTACAAGGAAAACAAAAACAAAACAGTATTTTTGCTTGCACATGATTGAATGATTAAAGGCATTATAAAAATCCAGGGGTTAAACTTACCAGTAACCTTCTAGAGCTTCACCTAATTCACTATGTTAAAGGAAAATTGCCTTGCAAAGTGAACAGCTAATTTGCATCAACCCAAAAAAGTGAATGTGCGGATTTGTGTTAGGACACGCATTGACGTGCAATGTAAAGTGCATTGCACTAAGTGGTAAAAATGTACAGCAATGCAGGCACTGACATGCACTTTGATGTGTTTCCATCAATTTCAAAAGAAATCGCATCAGGCAACATAACACCCCAAAATGCAGATGAATATGGGCACTAAAGGGTTATGCAGTAAATCTCAACAACCAATCAGAAATCATCTTGTAGTGGTAGCTGTATATTTTCTCTTGTACACTTACCTTAAAGTTGAGTAGTCCTATGGCAGTTTCAACAAACGTGACCAAGTTAATTGGCTGTGCAAGCTTTCTACCTTTTAAGTGTTGTAGATACTTTTCTGCGAACTGAAATAAAAATGAATTTTTCCTTTATTATATTCTAAAAAAATATAATGTAATTTATAGTCCTAGGAAGTGGAAAGCAGTCGAGAAACTGTATCAGAAAAACATCAGAATGCACTATAATATCATATACATTGAATCACAATAATTGGGTGTCAGTAAATCACAGTAAAGGCTAACTATAATGATGGTATTCTTTAACACTTTCAGGTCCTGAGGTAATGTATATCTTGGTACACTTAACACTTGACAGTTTTTTCCTGTGTTAGTTCAGCTTAGAATTATGTAGGCACCTCTATGCATCAAAGGAAATTTAACTTTGATTTTTTAAGGACAGACATTAATTTATTATACCTGAAAATAGTCGTATACTCTTTTTAGTACATCTGTTTACAATTGCTAACCTCTACACGTAACCATTCAATTTTTATTTTAGACATTACTTTGTTTTTTTTTATCCAAATAACACATTTCTGTTCACTGGAATAGCAGCATTGGCTAATGTAGCTTTAAAGCAGTAATAAACCCAAAAGTAATTATTTTATTATGTCACAGATAACCATTTCTCAGATGTGCTGGCTTTATTAATTTTCTATTTTAGTTTTTTTTTCTATTTTCATCTGGAGTTTTAGCCAGTAAGTCTGTTGTTTTTCAAAAAGAACAAGCTCTCCAGCAGAATTAATCTACAGAGATGAGACCATTTACCACTAGAAGGGGTGATTACAAGGATCAGCTTTTATTTATCTTGTAAAATCTTTACCACCAACCCCCCCAAAAAAAACCCAACTGCTTATAAAATATTAGCTGGAGTTTGACTTCAATTTGTTATTGTATTCAAATCTGTTAGTACATATGACACTCTTCTCCCCCCAGACTGACAATGCTGCTGTCTAGAGGTGTCTCTGTTGCTCCTTCATCCAGATCCATCTGCACTCCCATTAAAGAGATTATCCATCACTTCCTGTCTTGACAAAGGAGACAATAAAACCTGAGGAGGGCTTGGCAGCTGATATGGTAGGCACTACAAAACAGACATTATGATGCATATATCTGCACTAGCAGGCAGAGGCAGTATGAAATGTGCCCTTCTAGAGTTTCTGTATTGCAACACGTTGGTGTTTTAAAAACGTGACCTAAAATAAAGTCTTGTAGAAGTAAAGTATATTTAATTTGAGTGTAAAGTTACAGGCTGAAGTTACAAAGCAGTTAAAGTGGACTTTCCCTAGGAGAAGCATGAAGGCTGCCATTGCCGACTTCTCATTTTGCAAATTATAGTTTCCTGGCTGTCATGCTGAACTTCTGATTTCAGTAGTTTGAGATTTTGATCTAGAACAAGTATACAAGTAAGGACAGAATCAGAAGTTATTCTGACTTTGCTGTACTGTACCAGGTCTATGGCTTTTCAATTATTGAAGAGGGTCAGCATTACAGCCAGGGAACTACTATTTTCAGAAAGAGAGGATAGCATGGGCAGCCCTCAATTCTCTCACAGCCAAGGTTTACTTTAAGGAGAAACTGAACTGTGGAAAGTATGCCCAAAAAAGCAAGCAGATGACACAATATTCACCATTATAGCCTGTGTTCTTCCTGCAGCTGATCCTTTCCCCATTACTGACTTGCCATACCTTGTTCTGCACTGTGTCTCTGTGTGGAGAGAGCATCTTCATAGAGGCAGGGTTTTTCCTCTTCATGTCACAACCTCCAAGGAGAACAGTGAATAGCACAGTAATGACATCAGCAAATCCCAATACTAGCAGTCAGAACAACAGTATCTTAGATCTCACTCTGCAGATATAAAGCTATGAGGGGCAGGACACAGGAGCACCTATGTACCTATGCATATCAGGAAGTGCGCCGTTCCTTTTCATAAGAAATTCAAGACAAAAGCTAGATTTTTCAGGATCCTGCTTAGGCACAATAAACATTTCTAAAAAATACCTTTAAAACAGCAAGTCATGTCAACTTTAAGAATCACTTTCTGCGCATTAGTAGCTACAAAGAAATATACATAATGCATGAGAATGCCCGAACCTGTAATGCAAACTATATTGTGGTATTGCATGAAGTCAGAGCAGATCAAGGTGTCATGCTAAGTAAAGTCATGCATTCATGCCATCTGCTAAGTGATATGTTTAATGATTATCATATATGAGAAGTACATAGAGTTTAAAGTGGAGTTCCAGCAGTTTTTGTGTTTATTAAAAGTCAGCAGCTACAAAAACTGTAGCTGCTGACTTTCAATAAACACACACTTACCTGTCCCAGAGTCCAGCGATGTTCTCATCCGCGCCGTCCCTTCTCCCCTCCACGGTGCCGGCATCTCAACTGTGGGCACCAGGCTGTGGCAGCTTGCGGCTTCACAGCCTGGTGTCCACTGCGCTTGCGCGAGTCAGGCTGCGCCTCCTAATTGGTCCAGCATTCTCCTGGGATCTGTGAAAGTTCCCAGAAGACTGCAGGAGGGAAGAGGGGGCCGAACATCCAGCTCACTTTGCTGCTTCGAACTGAGCCAAAAGTGGGAGAGGATACCTGCCAAAACAAGGTTACCCGCTCCCCCCCAAAAGGAGCTAAATATGGCGGTGGAGGGAGGAGGAAAATAAGCGGAGCTTCTGCTTTTGAGTGGAACTCCGCTTTAATGTGCCTGTCCTTCCCGTACCTCAATCATTAGTGATACTGTGTTATGTACAGAGGTAGGGTTAGAGAAAGTTTAGCATTATTGTGTGCATGACATCTTAATATGCAACATATTATGGACATATATTCCAGATCTTCAGGTTTCTGTATAAGTGATAGTCTACCTGTAGTAAAACTTCAAAGTAAGGAATTAAAATGAGTCTATTTCAGCTTCTGGAAATGGGGTTTGTTTCCATTAATAATTCTTTATAATAATAACAATAATAATAATTAATCATAGTACACAGCACAGTCTGGAGAAAACTCTCAATGACCAACATAAATAAATAAAGCAACGCTTATTAAACATAATCGATGGGAATCCTCCTATTTGCTGGAAGATAAGAAATGTCTAACAGGTACAATAAAGTTCTTTATGAAAAAAAAAAACAGGCAAAAATGACAGGTTTGTCCAATTCATTTTTTTTCAAGAAATATTCAGCCATTGATGGATATCAAAGGAACTGAGAATTTTAATCATCTCTCTATTCAATCTCAGTTGGGTAAATCATATCTAAGAGATTTGCATAAATATAAACCATCAAAGACTTTTCATCTTCAAAGGGGGTTTCAAGACCCTATAAGCTTTGTACTGTAATCATCACAGGTCACAACCCTGCAGGAACAGGGCTGCTATGGCAACATAAAAAACTAATGCTTAAGGCTTAGCATAATATTCTGACTAATAGAAAGGAAACTCATTCTAAAAGCTGGCAGCCTATTTACCAGAAGCTGGATTAGAGGTGTTAGTTCTTCCCCTTTTAGCTTTTTCCCCACAGCCCCCCTTCTCCATCACTTGAACCATCCCCTCTTTCACCAAATCAAAACATCACATCTCTGAAATACGTAAAATATCCATCCTCTAAAATACAAGCTTATTAAAGAACACACACGGGAACAAAAATGAATAACTCAAACTCAAAAACGAAGACAATACAAACCGCAATAAATATTGCACAACATTCCTGCAATAATTACAATTTTTTTTTTTTTTACCTCAGTCGACATAACTGATAAACACAGCACATGTTATGCTGGGGCTTGGGACTTTTGTTCTATGGTAGAAGGTCTTAGCACAGAAGAAAATGGTCTCCTCCCTGCTGATTTTAAGCCTGTACAACATACATTATCATACCACCTGGAAATATGAGAGCGGCTTACAGAAGAGAACATCTAAAATGTTACATTAGCCTTTCCACCAAAAAAATCTTTAAACCTTACAAAGAATTTAACTCGTTCTTCTCTGACACATAATATTTACTTAGTGATAAAACTTAAAAGGTGAGCTTCAGGGCACCTTTCAATTAATATTTTTTTTTCTCTGCAAAAAGGGGACAATTAAATGTTTCCGGCCAGGCAAAGTGAGGAGGTGTTGGGGAGGGGGTGATAGAAGAAGAAAAAAAACACAAAGAGATTGGGGAGGGGATGAAGTAGCAGCCTTCAGCACTTCTTTCAATTCCAGTGCACACCCAATAGTGTGCGAGGAAGAATGCCCACTGTTCAAGATTTGTGGGAGAATTGTCCCATGACAAAAGAGGTAGAGTTACGCTTGTTATTCTCCAATAAGCCATGCCAGTCAAACAAGTACCCATACTTAGGACAAAAGGAAAGCAAGGGATTGTAGCACAAAAGAAAACAAGTAAGCCCATCTTTCAGTTGTGCATCAGCTTCCAGGTTTTATGCTTTGCATAAATAAAAATGAGAGAATAAAAAAAAGGATGTCTGGTGTAATAAAAAAAATCTCTTCACTTCAATAAAAAAAGAATTAGTTTAAAAAAAGGTGTTAAAAATGTGTAACACATTCTTTAGATGAAAGGCTTTTCAGTGAATTGAGTGGCGGAAAGAGAAAGTGGAGAGTGTGGAGAGGAGGAGGCAGGCAACCAAAGCTGATTTTTAAAAATTTTCTTTGCTAAAATTATCTTAGACATAAAGGTTAACCACGAGAAAGGAGGGGAATGTGGTTTTCCTGGCTAGGAAGGGGTGAGGAGGAAAAAGCTTAGAAGGGGCGGCCAATTTTTAGATATATTAAATTAATTCCTTAACCCCTAACTGAAAGAAGAGGAATGAAAGCCATTGCAAAGCACACTGAATCTTGGACGTAACTGGCAGAAAGCGGCTTTGGAACATGAGCAATCGTAGCAAACTCTGCCCAGGTGAAAAGTCTAAAGGCAGTCTGGGAGTGTCTGCACTGAGTTAGTAAGTAACCCCATGTGATGATTTGTAATAGCCGTAAAGCAAATCTTCAAAGCTCTTGTGACCTGCTCTTTTGTATACATCTACTATATGTATGTATTGTATGTCATGATCTTAATTTAACCAGCTAATTTTCAGGG